ACTACACCATGACCGTCCCCTCTCTGCTCAGGACTCCTCTCAGGAGCAGACCAGTTTCCAATTTCCAGCTCCCTGCACACAACACACTCTTGCTTTTACTCAAGGACTAACAAAGATAGAATTTAACTAATCCTAGAAATCACACCGAGCAGCACAAGCAGTGAGTTATCACAGGGGGCTGTCTTATTCACCCAGACAGCATCTCTGCAGCTACACATATCCCTCCTTCCACATGGAGACCAGTGAACCCAGCTACACACACTGGGCCAGGGATGAAGCAGAGGGGGAAAAGAGACAACCCAAAAACTGACCTGCACGGCGAGAGCTGGAGCCTCGGCCTCTGCGTCTCTCCATAAATCCTTCCTAAGGCACTGGACTGGACTGCAGCACGAAACATGACCCTAAAAGACCTGAGCTACCCCAGGATCCTGCCACACTGCTCTGGGCAGGTCACCATCCCATCCCACACCTCCATCTCCTCCCAGGGAAGCGAACGCCCTGCCTGGGGGAGCCGCAGCGGGGCGGGAGCCACCCCAGCACCCCACCCCAAACTCACCCAACCCCAGCAGCACCCGCCTGGCAAACGCCATCCCCACCTGCCCAAGTCACCTGGCAGCAGGACAAGCCTCAGGAATCTGTCTGGATCAGCTAAATGGAACAGAAATGCAAAGTACTGTGGGTCCTGTACTGTTGGCAATTGTTATTTACAGTGGCAAGACCAGAGACACAACTGCGTGTGGGAGGACGTGGTGGAGGAAGAGACATGAAAAACCACCATGTCCTTCAGAGTTCCAGTGGTGTGAGCAGAACCTCATCCCAGCCAGGCTGGGCTCGTTAAAGAACTTGTTATCTTAAGCAAACATACTTGGGAACAAATAACATTGGAACAGTAGCTTGCTCTACAAATTAGAAGGAGAAATGGAGTTTTACCAGCTCCCTCCTTGAGGAAATAGGGACTGATTCAGCCCAGAACCTGAACACAGAAGGAGCTGCTCAGGGAGATTGAGGGTGGCTTCAGACCAGAGGCACAAACCCAGCTGGACGCTGAGGTGCTTCACTGAACCGGATCATGTCGCAAGACCCACAGATCAAAAGCTGCTTCAGGTGCAACTGCATTTGCCACTGAGAACATCAGCTGCTGGACACGCTCCAAACTTTCCCTCCAGGCAGCGCCTCACAGCCAGCCTTCCCACAGGGAAGCACAGAGACCTGCAGTGAATTTCTTGCAAAGAAGCACTTTCAGACAATAATGCCCTGTTCTGGTAACACCCTGTTCATCAGAGACACCGAGATTCAGGGCAGCACTTGAGCCACCTCCCAAACCTGACCCATCACTGCCCACCAGTGCCCACCCTTCCCATCAGGAAGCTGCTGCAGTGCCAAGCCCAGCCTGGTTTCTCTGCTGTCCCAAAGCCCAATAAAACACACAGAGGGCTTTGAAGCGGCGTTAGTCACCACGACACACAACTGCACCCGCCCCACCAGAACACACCAAAAAACCCCCCTGGCAAAGATGCACCTCTGCAACCTGCCCATCCAGCCCCCTTCTCCCAGCTGCTCCTCTGCCAGGAAAAGCTGCTGGCAGCGGGACAGACACATTTGCACTCCGACACTGAGATTATTTACTTTAATACTGACTCAGGCTTTGAAAGGTGCCAGCAGCACAAAGCCACCTACATCAGACAGGAGATATTCAAGGCACAGCATAAAATGGCACAGCTACTGCTCCTGCCCAAGTGCATTCCCTCCACGACTGGAAACAAGGATTTTTAAGGAATGCCAGCAGGATGGCTCGGGGCAGTCACTCCCAAATTCCCAGCTTCCCATCCCTTCACAGTGATGCCAGTGGGAGCAGCATGCTGGATGTCTGTCACACGTGGTGGAGACTCCAGCACCTCCCTGGGCAGCCCCTTCCAATGCCTGACAGCCCTTTCCATGGAGAAATTCCTCCTCATGTCCAGCCTGACCCTCCCCTGGCACAGCCTGAGGCCGTTCCCTCTACTCCTGTCCCTGTTCCCTGGGATCAGAGCTCGACCCCCATCAGCTCCCCTCTCCTGTCAAGGAGTTGTAGAAAGTGAAAAGTTCCCCTCTGAGCCTCTTATTCTCCAACCTGAACAATAAATAATATTAAACAACAATAAATAAAAAAATACTGCTTTCCCATTTTACTAAATACAACCAGATCTGATAGAAATAAAAATAGGCCAGAACTGTACAAACAAAACCCTGAGTATCCTCAGGCTGCAAGTCAAAAGCAAACAAGCAGCAACTCTGCATCAGAAGAAAAAGAAATATTCACCAAGGGAGGAGAGCACACCCCGTCTGCAGCTCTCGGGCATTTTTAATGGGAATCACTATTGGGATGACAGGGAATGCAGATGATGTTAAGAGTGTCCCTCTCCCCCATCCTGGTTGTTTAGGGAGATTTTTTTTGAGGCAGAACTACTCCCACAGTCTGAATAATTCTCTGAAATGAAAAGGGAAATAGAGCTATTTAAGATCTGTTTCAATATAACTATGGAAAACATCCTGCCAGAGGAGAAGTCCCTCAAAACAACTATTTACAGTGTTTTGCAACACCACGAAATTCTGTGAATTTGTATTTTAGGTCGGGGTTTCAAAGCACACAGCCCAGTACCTCATCTTGCACCTGAGCCCTGGGACAGGTCTCCAGGAAAGACAAAAGCCCCGACAAAGTTTGTTTGCCTTCCAATGAACCTTATTTTTATTAAACGTGCCATTTCTTTTAGCACAGCCATTCACACGTTTGCTCCAGCGCACCAGACACAGCTGAGCTGCCGCCCCCGGGGTGATAATCTGGCCCTTACCGGGGTTTTGAGGGAGTTAATCAGGAACAGCAGGCAGAAAGCAAAGGTGCACCCCAGAAAACAGATTTACATCGTCCTCATTCAAACAACGCCCCACACAGCGAGTTCCCCGGCCCCGGCGTGTCCCCGTGTCACGTTGTGGGGACGGCTGGGTTACATTTAATTAACAGCAGTCAGGGCTAAACCCTTAATGCGATGCAGCAGGGCCATATGGTGCGACTGTCGCTCCCAATTGCCCTTCATCCCAAACGGCACCAGGAGGCATCTGCGAGAGCCCCGCTCGCACCGCGCCATGCAAATCACCACCAGAAACATTTAATTGATTCATAATCTAAGGAAAGCCAAGCGTAAGGACCAGAACTGGCTGAGCGAGGCTCTAATTGCCCCGGTGAGGATGGTGCTGCAGCACGTGCCCGGCGTAGACCCCCCCAAACAAACCCAAAAATGAGCAACGACTCCTCCTCCGGACAGCCCTGAGCTCACGGTGGGACACGGATCGTTCCCTAATTACCACCAGCACCAACTACTTGCCCTCCACACCGACACTTAAGGGTATCCTTATGCAGATTCAGGTGGTTTTTTGCGAATGGCATCAGCACTAACAACTTCTGTCAAAAATCGAGAGGCTCAGCTGATCCCGACCAGCAAATTTTCAAGTCCCTCAAGCCCAAGTGCAGCACTTCAGCTCTGTCCTGAAAGAGAAGTTTCCCTCCAGCCTGCGGGACCGAGCTGGAGAGGAGCAGTCCCACGGCCAGCAGAGAGCACAGCACACGCTACCGAGTTATCCCTGACACGGGTCTGCTCAAACCTCCTCGTTTTCCCCCCCTGCAACAACTAACACTGGTCACACCTTTCCAGGGACCCAGAGCAGGACATGGGACATGGCCCCGGCTGGGTCACCTTGTTCGGGCCCTCCTTCCATCCCACACGATGGAAAGATGAATCTCTCCTGTCTAACACGAGCACCGGTACAGCACATATCTCACAAGAGACAGGCACCTCACTGGCAGGAAAACTCTTTCCCCTGGAGTTTGGGCAGAGCCTCAGGCAAATTTAGTCATTCCAGAGGCCTTTACCCCTCACCATAAAGCTTTACAAACACCAGCCCTCCCTGATCGCCGCGATGCCAACCCCACCCATGAGCTGACCATCTCCTCTTTCCTGGAAAAGCTTCCCTTCCCAAACCCGCCCGCAACCGGAGACCCCCGCCTGGTCCCTCCCTGACACCCGACCCACCCGGGGAAGCGGGGGGACCCGGAGTGGGAGTCTGGGGGGTGCAGAGCTGGGAGAAGAGGAGGGAGAACGTCCAGGCGGCAGAGTCCGGACAGGAGCGCGGGCAGAGCGAGGGATGCGGGATGGCAGCACCGGGCGGAGATGCGGGCAGGACAGGGGTGCGGGACAGCCAGGCGAAGGCAGGAGAAGGCAGGGGACAGGCAGGGCGCAGGCAGGGCTCGAGCACTCACAGTCGCAGCGCAGGGCGCGCTCCCGCACCGCCTCCCCGCACAGGTCGCACCAGCCGCGGCGCGGGAGCCGGGGGGCGAAGCGGTGGCCGCGGTCTCGCTCGGGGTGGTCCCGCGGAGCCGCGAAGATGCTCCGCACGTCGGGCAGGAGCCGCGGGGCTCCCCCGCGCCGCCGCAGCCGCCGCGCCCCCCGCGCCCCGCAGGGGCTGCCCGGGGTGGGCGCGCCGGGGCCCCGGCGCATCGAGGTGGGCACGGGGGGCGGCAGCGGGCGGGGGCACGGCCCCACGGCCGGCGATGCCATGGGCTCGGAGCGGCGGGAGCGGGGCAGCGCAGGCGCCTGGGACCGGCCGGGAGGGAGGAGACACGGCGGGGGTGGGTGGGGACCGGGATCGGCCCCTCGGGGCCGAGGAGACCCCCCCCCCCGGAGCTTTCGCGCTGGGACCCCCTGTGCGATGCTTCCTCCCCGTGGGATTCCCCCTCCCCGCGGGAATCTCCCCGCAACAGCCTCCCCCCGTGGGAATTCCCGCTCCCAGGGGACCTCTCACCACTGGACAGGCACCACTACGGGGTCTGGAATGCCCCGGGGAGGGTGTTTCTGGGCATCCCCACCCGGGGGGGTCCCGCAGCACGAAGCGGAGTCGGGGGCTTTCCCCAGCGCGCTGCTGCCGGAGCGCAGCCACTTCCCAGGCTTTGTCCCCACGGGATAAGGCGGATCACGAGTGGGCTGTAAGTGGAGCTGGATCCCCTCACCCCGCTGCAGGGACAGCCGAGGGGAATTATCTCCCCCAGCTGAGGCTCCTGTGGTTGTGGGAGATGGGAAAGGGAAAATTGGTCGTGGCCAAAATTTTGCGGCGGCTCCAGCGCTGCTGCTCAGGGGACAGCGGAGCTGCTGGCACACCCCCACCCTGGGCAAAGGAGGGTGTGGGGGGCACAGATGAAGGTGGCTGGACCTGGGGCCACTCCAAGTGACTCCCTCCTCTGAGCAGCAGGGCTGGATATCGCAGATGATGTGAAGATCCCTGTCACCATAATCCCTTCCCCGCCTCGGGGTGGAGCCCAGAGTACAGAGAGGGTGACACATCAGCCCGAGTCGTGCAGGACGAAACTGGCCCTTCTCTGCTGCTCTCACTCGTATTGGTTTGAAATACGTTAATTCAGCCAGAATTGCCCCCGGATTTCTTTTGGTTTCCAGGTGAGAGGTGTCTGCAGCGAGCACAGAGCTGGGCTGGGCGAATCCTGGCTTCTGGGCTCATGGGAAGCTGAATTTAGCATCTCCTGTGTACTCCTGAGGATAGGATAAGCCAAGGATATCTAAATCCTTTTCAAGGATTCTAATTTAAAGGATGGATTAAAACACTGGCTCTGAATTACAGCAGACTGGTGCCATAAGCAGCCCCTAATAAGAGCTTCAAACCGGAGGAGGAATAATGCAGCTTGGAAAATTCCAGCTTTATTCTGTGCTAAGCAGCAAGATTAATTTTTGGAAGGGTTTTTTCTTCCCCATTCAGGATCCTGATTCACTTTCATGCCTCTTCTGCTTGTGCCTGAGTACAGCAGCAGATTTATTACTCAGTAAATTGTTTCACAAAACCTTGGAGTTTTATCCTATGTTCTCCTCAGACTGTTAATTGTATCAGGAATCACCTCCAGGAAAGGAAATTACTTTCCTGAGGGCAAAGGTCTACCTGGCACCTGGCTGAGAACCTGTTAAAGCCATTCTGGACTTCTGTTTTCCCAGTGCCATCCTGTGACACAGTTTCAGTCTCCATCCTGCAGCATCAGGGCACATAAATACTAAATAAATGTAATATTTTCTGTCCCCATAGGAAGATGGGGCTCAAACCTGCACAAGAGACCTGTCTTTATCCTTCTCATCTGCAGGTATTCAGGGCTGACAGCACATGAAGCTCTTTTAGGCCATGGGTTAAAATATTAGGGGAGGGGGGGGAAAACCACCCAACTAATTAACATTGGCAGGAAAATTCCCGTTTCATTTGGATTCCAGGAGTCCCCTTTGCAGCTGCTGTGTTACAGCAGCTTAAGCATGACAAGGGCTATTAGCAAAAACTCTTTTTTTCTTTTTGCCAAGAAATAAATCCCTTTCTGTGGAAGCCAAACATGTTCCAGGTCAAACTCTCAGCTGGCGCGAGTCAGTGCAGCTCCACTGAATCCAAGGAAGTGCAGCAGGAGACCCTGCCTGGGCTCCCTGCCCTGTTCCTACAGGGAATATCAGTGAATTCGAGCTGGATTAAAAATCACGTTCATTAGAAAACCAGGAGGATCCTAGAAAATGATTCGTAGGAGAAAAGCTTTTAAGCGATGGCTCAGTTCCACCTCTCGATGGTAAATAGATGGGTTTGACATTCAGGATGTTGGTTTTTATAATTAAAACACACGGGGAGGTTTGGTGCCAAATTCCACTGGGGGAGGTTTCCTGGGCGGGGGGAGCTCCTGGGCACCCTTGGCGTGTTCCTACAAGAAAGTCAAGCCTGGCACAGCCCTGCAGCTGCTGCTCCTTGTTCCCTTTGTTCCCTTGCTGAGACTCAGGGCAGCAGGATGTTCAGCTCCAGGGATGCATCGTTTTGCCTTTTGTCCCCATGTATTATTTAGGACGTTAGGAAGGAATTCCTCCACATTAAAAGTGGGAATAATCCCTGATTAAGTAAGAAGAGAAAAAGTCTAGCCTCTTCTTCATCTGACATGGTGATACAGAGAAGCCAGAAAACCACGGAGTCCTTCAAGCACTTTTTAAAATAAAGAGAAATAAACCCCCACTCAGTTGTCTGGTCAAGCTTCCAAAGGCTTGAGGTACTCAGAGCTAATGCTGGTGAACGTGCAAAAGTGCTGGGGCAGAGAGGTAGGACACAGAGAGCTCCTCAAACACCAGTGCCCGATGGCTCCCCAAGTGCTGGGATTTCCCAGTGGTGGGAAGTGGTTTCGCTTCAGCAGCTGCACATTCACCACGTCCCTCAAACGCCAGGGGTGGGGGCAGCCCCTCCCAACCTGCAGGGACAAAACCAAAGGCTTTAGGCTAGACAGGGGTCACCTGGGCACAGGAAATCCCAAACTACAGCTCGAGCCAGGCACTAATCTTTGGATCTCTTCCCGTGTCTTCTGGGATGAGCTCTTCATACAGAAAGCAAACACCAGCTTTCTTATCCCCTTATTCACAGGGGATGTGCTGCAACAACACACTTGGTCCTATGAAAACAGGGCTGGGATGAATTCCCAATTTCTTTTTTTTCTTTTTAAACTCTCTGACATTCTGATCTGCACGTTCTTACTGTCGATTTGCATCAAGAGTCATCAAGAAAGGTTGCAGAGGAGGAAAATCAGGGTTTTTTCAGCAGTACATGCTGGGTTTACAGAGAGTTTCATACAGAAGGAGAAAGCATCCACTTCTCTGTGGCACTCAGCAGCTGGGCACCACAGGGAAAAGGTTGGGAAGAGGGTGTGGAAATCACAGAGCTTTGCAGAGGATCATGGCTAAACCTCCAAGAAAGATAAATTCTGCTGCCAAACCGTGGTGTAAATTTGGGGATATTAAACCCCCCACTGAACCAGCCCACGAGTGACTGTGGTGGAGCTCAGCACCAGGCACAGCTCCCACACTGGAGCTCCCAGGGAGCCCACCCAGAGCCCCCACCCCCTCCCAGGGGTGTGCCCACACCCTGGTGCAAGGAGCAGGAATCCCTGCCTGGAGCAGAATCTCTGGGTGCTCTCACTCACCTCTCGATGATGCTGTTGTTGAACTGGAGATCACAACTCACTGACCTCATCTGCTCCAGCAGCTCCTGCATCCTGCAGGGACACAACCAGCCCCTTATTCCTGCGCTGCTCAGCCCCTGCTTCCCACAGGAGAGGGGCTGGGATGTCCCCAGGGATCACACCCAGCAGGTCTTGGCACAGAGTTTTCCAGCCCTGTGGACACAGAGCCCTCACCCCACTGCAGGGGGTGAGTAGCAAGGGGTACTGCTCCTCCCCAAGGAGCTGGGGCTGTCCCCAAAACCCTCTTCCAAAAGACTCCCAAAAGACTCACCGAAAAGCCATCTCCTGGCTCAGGTGGATGGGGGAAGGCACGGGAGGAACTGGGGCCAAACTCCATTTCTCCATCTGGAGAAACCTGTCCAAAGCCTGCAGAGATGGAGAGATCTGGCAGCCCCCACAGCAGGGGCTGTCTGGGGGTCTAACCCCGGGGGGATGCAGTGCCTGCCTGGATAAACACCCAGGAGGTGACACCACATTCAACACATCCACTTCTCCAGGACAAACAAAATAAAATAACCCCACAGTGCGGGGGGAAAAAACAAGATCTCCAGTGTGGGATCAGCCACAGAGAACTGCAGCAAGCTGCTTAGAAACACTCCAGGGTTTCCCTACTTAACCAAGTGCTCCTGCACCCGGTGGGAAGTGGGAGAGGGGTGCAGGAACATCGTCAGAGAGCAGGGAGAGACTGTGGAGCTGCATCCCTGGCAGGACCCCATGGACACCTACACCCTGCAGGCAGTCCTGGCACTCCATCATCTCCACACTGCAGGTGCTGATGCGGTTGCTGAGCCTCTTCAGGTGCTTCTTTATCTCGCAAACTTTCCTAGAAAGAAAAAACGACAACAAAATTCCCAGTCAGTATTCGGCATCAATGGGGATCGTTAGGTTTTTTCACATGTTTTAACTCTGCACTGCTTTCTGCAGACCTTTCTGGATCCCAGTTAAAATCCTGAAGGAAAGCAAGTGAGTCACAGCAGTGTTGTAATTACAGTTGCAGCTTTGCTAGCAGCCACCACAGCCAGGTTATCCTAACAGCAAAATAATTAGAGAAAGTGCTGCTTGTAAGAGAGACAGCTCAGGCCCATCACTTTTGCCAGCAGCTCTGCACAGGATGGTCCTCTGTGTCCCGTGGAGGGCTGAGAATCTACCCAAAAAAGCTCCTTGGTCCTGCACCCAACACCCAACAGGCACATCATGAGTTGTATATTTAAAAAAAAAAAAATTGTTTTGGCTTTAAAAAAACAAAGGAAAGAATATTTCAGGTGAATGATCCACCTCCAGTCCCCAAAAAAACCAGCCACCACACCACAAACCCTGGCAGGAGACAACCCAAAACAGGACAATTAGAACTGAAGTAACAATAAATTAAAAATATCCCAGTTGTGTGTGACTCACGATGCTTTCTCCCTAAGGACAGAAAAACAGGTACAAAAATACTCCAGGAAAACATGAAGAAGTTTGGTTTTTTTTTCTTGCACCATCCTCTTCCCTACTGCCTCCCCCTCCCTGCTCTCTGCTGCTGCCATAGCCGGTGGATTGCCCTCAATCACCGCAGGGTAATTTGCTCTTTGCATTATTCCCCGAGCACCATTTAACAGAAGATCATTCCCAGTAAGCAGATCTCTTTGTCTCAATACCAATTTTGTCCTGATAAAATAACCTCTCCCAGGAAACAGCTGCTTGAGCTGGAGCTGCAGGTTTAGGGGCTTTTTTTAAAAATAAACTTTAAATAATAAAGGGGCAGAATACGTGGGTTACTGGAAAGTCCCCTCTTCCATCCACACCAGGGTCCCAAATTCAGAGCCCCCAGACCCCCCAGAGAGGGTTGGTACCTCATCCTGCTGCTGTGGAGGATCAGGGCCTCCTGGTACCGCTGGACACAGTCATTCTGGAAAATCGACAGAACCTTCCTGGCCAGGTTCCCTAAATTCATCCTAAAACCAGGGAAAAATGAGAGAACGCTGTTGCTTCCTCATGTGTATGAAAATGAACATCACAGCTCACGTGGCCAGGGACCTAAAGCTGGCTGCTGAATAGAGAAAGAGGGGCTGGGTGCTCAGTAATGAATTTTGGATCGGTATTATAGAGAAAACAAGTCCTAACTGTGATGAAGAGGAGCAGGAGGTTTTGGGGGGGGATGCCCAGCTAGGCTGCCATCCCCTCCAGGGCACTTCTGAGTAGTCTTTGCTTTAGAATTTAAGGCAAAAGTTCAATGTTAGACTGAAGATTAATTGAGTTGAAGGAGCTGCCTGTGAAATTTCACCCTTCCCAGTATATATTTAAATGGGCATTTTTATTTCTTGCCTGTGTTAAATTCCCCTGGTTTCAGTGGAAACAGAAAGGAGGATTTTTAAAGGTACAAAACCCATCAGGCACTTCACTCCCAGTGGAAGTTAAGCAGATATGAAAGCAGGGACACTTCCTAAATCAGCATCTCAGTAATAAATAGCCCCAAACTAAGTCCTGTGAGAGCAGCAGGCTGGAATGTGCTTATTCCCACATCCAATACAGGGATTTGGCCCAACAGCAGCTCCCTGTCCCCCCAAAGGTTCTCTGACATCTTCATCTGAAATAGTTCATGTCTTGAAAACTTCCCTGTGAAAGTTCCTGCATGGATGAACCATCACAGGAACCTCTTACAGGTGCCCTCTGGCAACACTGGTGACCAGGGAACATTTTATATCCCTTTGGGATTCAATCAGAACCACCAAGCATGAGGCTGGACACAGCAAGGGTGTGGTCCTGGAAAGGGGAGAGGGTTGGGACTCACTTATCCAGCTTGTGTATTTGCTCCTCATTGTAGCACAGCCCTGGGGAGGAAAGACACAGGTCACCACTCACCACTTATTTTCCTGTTCACAACCCAATAAATGGGCAATTTCACAACACACAGAAATCACCCAAGGGGCTTTTCAGGGCTCAATCCCTGGGGCCACTGCCATGGCACAGAAACAGATGACCTATAAAGTCCCTTCCAGCCCAAACCAGCCTGTGGTTCGACAATTCTATGAAATAAATTAAACTCAGCAAACTGAAATCACCCAGTGCAGCCCCACACCTCGTGTCCCCCATCCCCATCACTCACTCAGACACGTCCTGGCCTTCCTGAACTGCTTGTAGATCAGCTGCATCTTCTCCAGGCAGCACTCAATCTGCTGGATGCTGGAATGGGGCAGGGAGGGAGGCGTGAGTCCCCCCAAGAGGAAGGGTGTGAGTTTGGGGTGAAATCAGCACTTTGGGGTGAAATCTGAACTCAGAGCCACTGCTGCTCCCCCATGGCTGCGTGCAGGGACATCACACTGCATCAGTGTGATGTTTGCAGTGAGGGCTGTGCATGGCCCTGCATGGATCCCACAGCAAAGCTGCTCCATCCAGCTGGGAACAGCAAAGGGATTTCACCACAAACCTTTTGTCTTCGTGCACTTGCTGCCTGTCCTTCACCAGCTCGGACAAAATCCCATCCAGAGCCCCTTGGAAGTCAAAGATGTTGTGGGAGCACTGAGAGAGCTCCTCTGAGACCTGTGGATGAGGAGGAGAGGTTGGGACCAGCAGTTCTGGAAGCTGTGGATGCTCCTCCACCCGGGTTGGGGGCTCACCCTCTGCAGCCTTGTCTTCACCATGGCCATGTCCATCACAGCTGGCACCCCACTGCCTGCAGGAACAGACTCGTACCTGAGGAAAGTCAGAAAATGAATATTCCTGAAGTGGAACATGAGCCAGAGGCAGCCATCACCTGGGCAAAGAGATCCCATCCCACGGTGGAGCCAGAGCTGGATTCCTGTGGAGCTGGGAGGTGCTTTCCTCGGGCAATAACTCACCCAAGTTGTGCCCAAAGGGAAACAGATCTGAGCCACGAGATGCAAAGTGCTGATCTGGTAGAAAACTCACCCCGTTGTGTCCAATTTGTTCCAAAAAATTGTTGGTTTCATCCCCGCTGGCTTTGGGCCAGAGCAGACGCTGTCTGGCTCCCTGCAGCTGGCACGGGAGGGCTGAGCTGAGCACGGCAGGCTGGCTAAGTCAGCAGAAATACCCCTGATCCAGAGCATGTTGGAAGGGAGGGATGAGCCAGAGCATCCAGCTGCAGCATTACTGGCTCTTGGCACTACAGCCCTGCTCTAATCCTGCTGAACTCAATGGGAACCATGTGTCCCTATTTTTTACTTTTTTTTTTTTTTTTTTTTTTTTTTTGGAGATGAAATGGAAATTAAGAGACTTGCTAAATGGCAGAGAATAAAAGAACAGCTACCCAGCAGCAAAGAATTTTCCACTACAACTACAACAAAAGAGAAAAGCAAAATATCCTTGGGTTGCTTTTAAATGGGTTCAGCTCTTTTTCCCTTTCCCTCGAACTGGAGCAGCAGCAACCCTGTCCCATTCCTGCACTTACTCACAGCTCATGGGATGTAACAGTCAGAAAACCCTGGAGCAGGAGCCACAACCAGGACTAACCCTTAGTTAGGCCACACTTACAGCACACGGGTCTTCCCCTCGGTGAGCTGCAGGCAGGTGAGCACTGAGAGAGCCCCCCTCCTCTGCTCCAAAATCCTCGAGCACTCTGTTTTCAGGTCCCCTCTGCCAAGAGAGAAAACAGCCTGTCCAACATGTGCTGCCTGGAATGAGGAACTCCATCCCAGGGCCAGCTGCACGTGGTGGGGGTGAGCATGGAGCTGGTGGCTTCTCTCAGAAATGGGGGCCTGGATGCACCTAAAACTGGGTGCAGCTCCTGGGTTTTGGTCCTGCCACTGCACAGGAGGCTCCTGCCCTGAAGGGAGTGAGTGGGACAGTGAAAATCATTATGGAATCATGGAGTGGTTTGGGTTGGAAGGGGCCTTAAAGATCATCTCATCCCAACCCCCTGCCATGGGCAGATACACCTTCCACAGTGATATGAACAATGATGATCACGGTAATAATAAGGATGATAATAATAATAATGATGATGATAATAATGATGATGATAATGATGCTTTTCCCTCAGCATCTCCTAAACTGAAAAAAGCAACTCAAAACTAGCAAGTGGAGACAGGGGCATCCTCACAGCACTGAAGGGTATTTTCCTACAGGTGCAGCCTGGCACCCATGTCCCCTGTGTGGGCCCATCCTGGTCTTTGTGTTCTGCTCCCTCCTGGTACCCCAGGACCCCGTCCCACCATCCCCGGTGGTCCCACACTGGCTGAAGAAGCTGGAAAACCCCAAGTGGTTTAACTGAACACCCGGGAAGGGACATGTCCCACCTTCTGCCACCCCCCCAGGGTGTCTCTGTCACTCACATCACCCAGTGGAGGCCCCTGGCCAGCAGCTCCCGGCCGCGCCGCAGGGCCTGCCCGATGCGCAGGGTCTGGTGTGCGGCACCCACCGCGCTCTGCAAAGCAAAGGGCACTAAAAAGGTGGCCTAAGGCTGCACCACCTGCCCCACCCCGAGCCCCCTGGGCACTCCCACCTACCTTGGCTGCACTGCAGTCGGCCACCACGTCCACCTTGGGGACAAACTTTGGGAACTCAAGTGCCGCTGGAAAGACAGACGGCGGTCAGGGGGCTTTGGGAGCAGTCTTTGGGACATCTCAGGGTCCAACATTGCTCAGGCACTGAAACCTGGGATCATCCAGGACATGGACCCATCACCCAGACAGGGAACAGGGATGGGAAAGCTCCTGGGATAATAACTGGAGCAAATCCCTCTCATGACACCCGCCCTCATGCCACGAGCATCTCCAGCTCTGGTACTCACGGTCTCTGTACCGGACCCCCACCACGTCCTCGGGGTGCTCAGCTGTGCTCAGCAAGGTCAGGGGGCTGCGCTCTGTGGTTTTGCAGAAACTGTGAGCTTGGAGATTGGGATCCAGCTCATACAGGTGTCCTTCAAAAAAGTATTCTTGATGGTGAGGGACTATGTTTGTTTGTTTGTAGACGGCGTCTAAAAACTTGGTGGTACTGAAATCGAAAAGGAGTGAAAGGGTGGGGACAAGCTCAGATTTCCATCACTTTAGCAGCCTGCTGCCCTCAAAACACCAAAATGCTGATATTTTCTCTTAGCAAAATATCCCACAAGGTCAGCAGAGCCCCCTGGACACCTCCCTGGGGTTCTCTGTGTGCTCCCAGCAAAGGCTGGTTTGAGCCTGGTTTGCTTTAACCTGGCTTAGGTGTTGGTGCAAGGGGAACAGGCACTGCCCCAAGGTTCACCTAGTGAAATGAGGGGCTGAGGCTCTCGAGCTTGATTCCCAAATTTGCTTTTAACACAGCCTTACGTGTTGTAGGAGTGGATGTAGATGCGGTGGGAGGAAGCCTGCTGCAGGGAGAACACGTCCACCACGATCCTGTGCAAAATGTCATTGGTTCCTGCAAAAAACTGGTCGAATCCCCAGCATTTCTCCTGATCCGCCTCCAGGATGTTAGCCAAAATGGGGATCAGCTGGTCCTTCAGCCCCCTGCAACAGCACAAGAAGAGATGTTTGTACAGACTGGTGTAACCCTGAGCTGTGGGGACGGGAGATCCTGTACTGAGCTTGCCCTGCCTTGCACCCCCTTTTCCTGGCTGTGAAGCAAAAGCCCGGTCTGAGAGCTGTGACACTTGTAGATGAAAAGTTTATCTGCCTCATTAAACCCCCCTGTGCTGTCTGATGTGGGAACTGTGGTGGGACCCCACCCTGGCACGGGACACTCACAGGGAGAGGCGGCAGGTGATGGGCAGCTCATAACTCCACTCAATGTTCCCGTTCTCCTGCCTCTGGATCCCTGCAATGGCTCCAGGAGGCTTCTCAGTGGTGATTTTGTACCTGTGGAAAGGGAATTGCTGCTCAGACGAGCCAAGTGAGCTCTGTTTTGGGTGTCCCTCGGGTAGGGAAAGGGCAGAGCATGGATGGGCTGGGAAAGAGATAATTCACAGAGAGGAAAAAAAATGCCCAGAGGGAAAATGCTGCAAGAAACAGTCACAAACTTCCAAGAAGACATTAACCCTGCCTCCTCTTCCAGCTGTTTAACCACAAACTCACGGGAATGCATTTTATAGAATAATAGAGTCACAGCATGGTTTGGGTTGGAGGGGACCTTAAAGACCATCTGGTTCCAACCCACGAGACACCACCCACCAGATCAGCTTGCTCAGAGCCCACCATCCAACCATCCCATTTGGAAGGAAAACACAGCAAACATGGCACAGATTCTTTCCCACACAGCACCACACACTTCACAGGTGAATTCCCAGGTGTGTGTCAGGGCTTTGAGGCCACGTGGGGATTAAACAAGTGATAAAGTTCATCACAGAACCCCACGGGGGCCACCGGCCGTGGTCCCACCTCCCCCACGCTGCAGCTGGGCACGGTACCTACATGATCTCCTTGTTCCTGCGGGGCCCCCCGAAGGGGACGAAGGGGAGGCTGCCGGTGGCAGCGTGGTAGAAGGTGACACCGATGCTCCAGAGGTCGACGGTGACGCCGTACGCCTTCTGCTGCGGCTTGCGCAGGACGGCCCGCTCGTACATGTCGGGGTGCTGGGGGGTGAAGCACAGCAGCACTGGATCCCCCCCCCCAAAAAAAAAACCATGGCCTGCAACTCTCCAACAAAAATGCTGAGCCCTCCCCCTCTTTCAAAAATATAACACCAGGCTCTCCACGTCGCTGCTGCTCCCTGCGAGTCGCCCAGCTGTCGGATTGAGGGATGGGCACCAGGCTCCCCCAGGGGAGGCTCTACTCACGAGATATTCCTCTGTCCCGTAGACAGACACAAACTTTTCGTCGTCCTCCAGCTCTCGGGCGGCCCCAAAGTCGGTCAGTTTGTAGATGCTCTGCCCGTCTTCCCCCACCAGCCGCATGATGTTGCCAGGTTTGATGTCTCTGTGGACGACGCCGTTCTCACGGAGGTGGTTCATGCCTGCCACTGGGCACAAGGGGAAGTTCGTGCGTGGGGCTGGGGCACTGAGCTCCAGCAGGCTTTGCTCAGGGTTAGGAATGGGAGAAGGGCTGGGAAGGGGACAAACCCCAGGGTGGTTGCTCTAAAGTGGGGACCAGCGTGAGTGTGGGGATGGAGAAGATGGGTGAGCACAGGGTAGAGCACTGCCCTTGTGCTCCTCCATCGTGGGGCACAGCCTGTTCTCCACAGGAGACTGCTTCCCAGGGCAGGTCTGCAAGGAGAAACCCTCAGCCCCGTGGGTGCAGAGCTCAACCTCACCCCGTTCAGAGGTGCAGTTCCTGACCCCTCATTCCAAACCCCAGAGCTGGTGCCTGCAGGGTCCCACCAGCACCACGAGGTCCCCAGCCTGCAGGGTCTCAGTCCCGGGGTGCTGGTGGTGGTGGCAGGGGGCTGGTGGTGGTGGCAGAGGGCTGGTGGTGGTGGCAGGGGGCTGGTGGTCCCGGACCCCCCCACTCACCCACACACTGCAGCACGATGAGGAACTCGGACTCGGCCAAGCCGAAGGCGTTCGCTGGGTCCTCCAGCACGTTCAGCAAACTGCCACTGGAGCAGTACTCCATCACCAGCACCTTCTGCTTGCTGCTGCCCTGCGGTGGGAGATGCTGTGAGGGCTTGGCTGGCCCTGTGTCCCAGCTGTGGGCCTGTCCCCCCAACCCAGGCAGGACCAGAACCCCTCCCTTGGTTGGTGGATCTCTGGGTTTCTCCTGCTTGGCCAAACCAGTGCTGGAGAACGTCCCCACTGTGCCAGGTGCCTGGCCAAGGGACAAGAGCAGGTCATACCAGTGCTCCAGCACAGTGACCCAGTGTCACCAGTGCTCCCAGTGCTGAAGGACTGGGCTGAGACTGAGAGAGGTGAGAAGGGGTGGCAGAGAGGGACCATCCCTGCTCTCCTGCAGCTCAGACCACACCCCTGTGGCACTGGCCCAGTGGGCACAGCAGGATTCCCAGCTGAGGGGTTCCCAGGTGGGGTCCCACTTACTGTCTCCTCCACGGCAAATAATTTGACAATGTTTTTGTGGTTCAGCTTCCGCAGCATCTCAAACTCTCTCATCTGGACCTCCTGGGGCCGGAGGTAGCTGGCATTGTTGAAGACCTTCACAGCAACCAGCTCCCCTGATTTCTGGGAGAAGAGGAAAAAGAGAAAAAGGAAACGGGAGGTGATGCCATTCTCATCCAAAGGAGCTACGTTACTGATCCCGCATCCCGCCTGGGATGCAAATGACGCCGATTCTATACCGAGTTTGCTCCGCTGCACAAGCAAACTGCTGTTATTCACCTCCCTTTGCTTCCTGTCCCTGCACCCACGTGCTGCATGTCAGCGTGTTTATTCAGCTCCATAAAAAGTTCCCAGCTGGAGCCGGGGCTGGCAGCTCCCTGTCGGCTCTCCATGGGATGGGGATGTTCCCAACCCAGCCTCGCAGCCGCCTCTCCTGCCCTGCGCCTGCAGCTTTCTCAATAAACTTCAAAGGCTGGTGAGAAGAGTCTGTTCCAAGCCTGGCAAGTGTTTGCATGAAGTATGCAAATAGCCAGGGATGGGGTTTTCAAAACCTCTGGGCATTCCCCGGAAAACAGCTCCTTCCCCCTTGCGCTGCTCGGGAATCCGGCAGCCGCCGAGCAGGACCCGGCTGCGAGCACCCCAAAATCCGCCCTCCACCCGCAGAGCCAGGGGAAGGAGCCTCACAGAAAATGAAAACAAAACCCAAAGCAGCCCCCCGAGCTGCTCCCCAGCCGGGGAGCTCCCGGGAGGGCGAGCGGAGGGGAGCAGGAGCATCCCTGTGCCACGGGATGGGGGGGCACGGGGGCTCCGTGGCTTTGGGGTTCCTGCCCCCACCACTGGCCCCGCTCACCTTGTTGCGAGCTTTGTAGACACAGGCTGTGGCTCCCTGGCCCAGGAGGTCATCGGTGCTCCAGAGGTAGTTGGGGGTGCTCTGCATCTCCAGCGGGAAGCACAGGGGTCACCCCGGGGGCCGCTGGCCACCAAATCCCAGCCTTTGATCCGTCCTTGCCTGGCAAGGCGCAGGGAAGCGCCGGCCAAGGATGTTCCCCTGGGCAGCTCCAACCTCGCCGGCAGCACCACGCGAAGGCTGCGCATGGACCGAGCCGCGAGTGCTGCCAAAAACCACCCGGCACGGACCTGTCGAGGCTGGCAGCGAAAAAAAAAAAAAAGGAACTCTGACAGATGCAAAAAAAAAATTACGAGCAAACAAGAGCGGAGCGGCGAGAGGCACCTCCCCACCCCGGGAACTGAAACCTACGGATTGCAAAACCCGCTCGGCAACCAGAGGCAGCGCTGGAGGAGGAAATGCTTGGGCTTCCTGCTAGAGAAAAAAAATTCCCAGTGTTATCAGCCATCCCCGGGCGTGCTGGGCTCCTCCGGGGGGCAAATGGGGCCGGGATGGGCTCCGGGAACGCCAAAAGGCGCTGAGCACCGGCCACCACCGGATTTGGGAAGCAGAGTGGGATCGGGATCCGTGTCCAGGGTGAGAGTCCAGCCCTTGATATCTGTGCTAGCTCGGCCCTGGCATGGACACAGCATCACCCAGTGGGATGTGTGTGCCACTGTCCTCTTTGGATGCCCTGGCGGGGATGTGGGATGCAGGGAGGGATGTGGGATGCAGGGGGGGATGTGGGATGCAGGGAGGGATGTGGGATGCAGGGAGGGATGTGGGATGCAGGGAGGGATGTGGGATGCAGAGCAGGGTGCAGGGTATGATGTGAGGTGCAGGACAGGATATGGGATGCAGGATGGGATGTGGGATGCAGAGCAGGATGTGAGAAGGAGGATGGGATGCAGGGTGGTAGATGGGATGCAGGATGCAGGACGGGATGTGGGAGGCAGGGTGGGATGGGGCATTCAGGATGGGATGCAGGATGCAGAGTGCTCAGGGCACCCTCCAGTGCCTGCACAGGGCAGAGTGGGGCTGCTCACGTTCCTGCTCCCTCCCTGGCTCAGAGACACCCACACTTCACCTTGATCAGCACCAGCTCCCACTGTCAGGATTTACTTCAGGCTGGTGTGGACGTGTTCCTGAAGGCCCCATCCTCACAAGCAAAGCCTGCAGAGCTCTGTGAGCACAGCAGTGTGCGGTTCATCCAACCCCCAACGTGACACCTCACCATCCTGCGCACAAACTCCACACGGAACCAGTTCCTTAATTCCTGCTGAGCTTCATTTCCCAGCCACGTGAGAGTGTGCCTGGAAAACCCTCTGGAGAGCTGCCAAGCTGCCAGACCGTGGGCACAGACTGGCCCTGGCCCTGAGCTTACCTAAGAGGCACCAGGGGCTGCTGTGGGGTGTCTGTGGCAGCTGCAGCAGCGGAAGCGCCGTGACGTCGGTTTAACCACGCGAAACTTTGAAATCACTTTGATTCAAGTCCTTCTGCTGCAGCTCAGTTAACAGGAAGAGAAAGCGTTGGGGTGACTTCTTGAAATCATGCCCAGTCTTATTTTCTGTGCATGTGGCAACTGAGTCCTTCAAGCAGGACCATCAGTCTCTCCCCGTGGCACTGGCCAAGCTCGCGGGTTGTGGGTGCAGTGAGGGCTGGGCTGTGTCTCTCGCTCACCAGACTAAAAGATCATCAGATTTGAGATGGAGAAGCCCTTCCCCACACTGCAAAAACTGCAGCTCATTTCTCATGTCATTTCTCAGCACTGAAATCACAGATAAGAGCAGATAACACAAGGAAGAGGGACAAGTAAAACCTCCGGAGGGGAATTCCAGCTGAGTTCTGTTCCAAAGGCCCAGAGTGGTCAAGGGCACAGTGATGGTTAATCCTGCAGCCCACACTCAGTCCTGCACCCTCTGCAGCTCTGCAAGTTCAGCTCCTCTACTGGAGCCCTAGGAGCACATGGAGCCCATCCAGGGCATCAGGAGAGGAAAGGAAGGGCCTGTCCTGTGTTTCAGCTCAGAAACTGAAACAAAGATTTTTTTTTTTAAAAGACAGAAAGCCCAGGCTCTGGCATTTTCTGGGACTTCTGACTGTGTTGCTTCAGCTTTCACTGATGGGTGAGCAGGTTTGGGCTGGTGGGGGGTCAAGACAGACAGGAAGGAAATCATTAAAATATTTTATAGCACAAGGTTATTTTTGGGTTGTGCTGCAAGTCTTTTCAGTCAGTTCTCCACAGGCAACACCAGCACACCTTGATGCCAGTGTGGTGCCAGCCCTCATAGCCCAGGGACTCCAGCACATCCCAGTTACCCCAGCAGCTCTCCCAGTCAGGTCCAGCCTCGGTGGGAGATCCCAGCTCAAGCCCAGGAACTTGCCCCCAAGGTTTGCCTGGCTCCTTTCAGACCCCTTTATCCTTTCCTTTGCTATCCCTTTTCAATTTAATAATTCATTACCCCAACAGCAGGTTTTGATGCTCCAATCCATCTGTCCCACTGGGACTGGATGTGCCCATGGGGGATAAACTCTGGGAGAGCCCGGTCTGGCACAGGCTGGGAGAGCAAAAACCCAACCTTGAAACCAGTTTGTGACAAAAATTAATTGTTCCAGCTGGTGGCAGCAAAGCCTAAAGAATAAGGGACAAGCAGCGAGCCCTGCCTGCAGCAGGGACCTCGTCTCTGGGGGCTTGGCACAGAAAACCCCGAGCCCACGACCCCAGTGATGTCCCCACGGTGTCCCTGGGACAAACCTGCTCCTCAGGACATGCTCAGGAGAGGCTGCAAAGGTCCCATTTCTTCACACCAAGTGCCGTGGTCCTTCCCAGAGGATCCCCTTCCCTTCCACACCGACGCTTCCCAAGCAACCAAACCCTGCCCTCACTCAGCACCAAGCCCTCCCATCATTTACCACCAGGTTTCCTTGTTAAAAACCACCATAACGAGAGGTTTGTGAGGGAGGGTCAGACCTACCTGCAGTTCGATGCCATCAGTGGGTTTAAGGGATAAATCACAGTGTCCTCTACTGCTGGACAGTGGGGACCAAAGGAAAATCAAAAATCAGTTGTTATCTGTGTCACCCCATTGCCTGACTCCTATTTCTTGTCTAAAAAAAAAACCCACCACCAACATGCCCCTGTGGCCAGCCTGCTTTAGGGTATTAGCATATAAGCTGCTGTGATTTGGGCTACTAATCTAAGAAGTAAAAGCATCCTGAATTTCCAGCTCTTGAATCCCTAAAAGAGATGTGGGACAGGGAGCACAGGGATGCTCCATCCCCTCGGGAGCTCACCCCAGGGACAGCGGGGACAGCTGTCCACAGCTCACTCCCAGCTGAGCACAAAATGCCCTGATTAAACATCAAACCTCACCCTAAATAGGTAATTCCTTGGGATCTAAACAATGGGAATCCAAAATGACACAGCCCTGCCACATTTCCCCTCCGTGCTCTGAAAAAGGCCTATTGAAAAACCGAGACTGGGGAAAGCTGGTAATAATAATAATAATAATAATGATGATCCAGTCCATAATCTCAATCTTAAATCCTCTTTCCTGAGACAGTTGGGGGTCCATCCTCTCCAGGAAAATGAGGAAGATTAAGCATTTTTAAACCAGGTCATTGCAAGGGAAGTGTTTGCCCTGTGGGATCCTGCTGGTGGTGGCAGGTGCATGCAAGCCCAGGGTGGGGGGACGGTGGAGTCACAGAATCCCAGAATGGTTTGGGTTGGAGGAAACCTTAAAGACCATCCAGTTTCACCCCCTTCCATGGGTAGGGACACCTTCCACTAGCCCAGGTTGCTCCAACCTGGCCTTGGACACTCCCAGGGATGGGGCAGCCACAGCTTCTCTGGGCAACCTGTGCCAGGGCCTCCCCACCCTCCCAGGGAAGAATTTCTTCCTAAAACCCAACCCAAACCTACTCTCCTTCAGTTTAAGGCCATTCTCCCTGGTCCTTTGGATCCTTCTTATCCCTGGGCCACATCAATGCTCCTTCTCTGCTGTGATCCAGTGTCCCAGCGCCCAGGAATGACACAGTGTATTCCTGAATCCTGCAGATTCTTCCTCACCTACTCACCAGTGCCAGTAGCACCAATCCTGAGGATTCCAAAAGCCCCCACAGGCCACGCTCACCCTCTCTCCCACTCAAACCCAGGCACCCACACTCGCTCCAGACATCACACACCGGCACCCTCAGGTCAGTGTTTCCACCATACCCAAAACATTTATTTCTCCAAAACTATTGCTAATGACAATGGATACATTTTGTTGTCCCAGTATGGACCGAACATTTCCAACACATCGACTCCTAATACTGTACAATACTGTACCAAAAGGGGGGGAGGGGAGAAAAAAACAAACAAACAAACAAAAAAAAAAGGCTGTACCTCCATATTGTACAGAGTTCTATATACAAAGTACAATTTTACACAGTTTAATATATACACCGTATATATATTGGTGTAGAAGACATGAAACAATGGAAACTGTTTTAGCAAGAACATTCCATCCCACCATTAAAACAACTGCTGTCCATAACCCCAAGCCCAACGCACCGTACGAGCCACCACAGGACTGAGGTTCAGACAGAAAACACAATTTCTAGACTCTGCAAGCCATTTTTCCAATGTTACAGCAGAACCACATCACTGCGATCCCTTTAAAATCAGAGATGGTTTTCACTAACTGCCCCGTTTTGGCTACATAGAGCTGGTCTTTTGAAGAACCTGCTGCTCACAAGTATTGCTCCAGCAGTTTGGCACACTCACGAGCCCAGCCCTTTGGACTTGGCTTGTTCACATCTCAGGGCTCTGCCTGGAGGGAAGGCTGGTGAAGTCCACCTCAGGAGTAAGGTTACTAGTGCCGTGAAAAGGACGGGTCCATCTGCAATTTCCACTGCAAACTGCTAAATATTTACCCTGTATGAAGCTTGGTAGATCAAGTATTAGTACAGCAGGGAGCTGCCCTCCCTCTCCACCTTTGCCTCTTTTTGGCCCATCGTTGAAAAGCAACACTTTTGTCCCAAACTACTTGATAGGAAGCACAAAATAGAACAGGAAAAAAAACCAAAACCAACAACAACAACAAACCAAACCTTACATTTTCCAGGCCTTGAACTGCTGTTTTGGCATCTCGAGAACCACCAGAATAGATGGTTTGTTCCTAGAACCTGAGCCTGGAAAAGAATTCATCTGCCTTTAGGCGGCGGCGGCAGAGCCTGGAACCGCTTGTGCGTGACACAGCCGGGGCCATCCCAGCCCCACAGGCACAAGGCAGAGGGTCAAGTATTTGTATTTTCTTTTTTTTTTTTTCAAGTACCAGGTTGTCACACGGACACAGAGACACGCAGAAAGCTGATCTGGAAAGAGCTCAAACCCCAAAGTTCAGTCCATGAAGTGCTTGGTGTTCTCCCAGAGCCGGCGCTGGGAGCATCCCTGGGGGGAACAACATTCCCTGTGAGAGAAGATCCTTTTCTTCCACCAAGGTCTCTTGTGCTACCAGGCCACTAAAGAAACAGCTTTATGTCTCTCAACTGCACTTGAGGGGCGTTAGCCAAGGCCAGA